CATTTGCTGAAGTTCAACATGTGGAAGAAATGCTTGGTCGACTGTGCATTTCATATGTTAAAACGGTGAATTTCAATTGAAAGGCATTATATCATTGTCATGGACCTCTGCCGGGTAGCATTTTGGCAGCGGTGGGGGGGGTGTCAGCTGGTTTTGATGTGGAGCGGTGAAAACAAGCATAAGGGCATCTTGAAGACTTCTTGTGCTACCATCACAGTGAATCAGAGGAAGAAAATTTGTTGAAAATCACGCTCCTCATATAACATTTGACAATCTTGTTTTATTTAATTTTTTCAGGGGAACTGGCCCGGACTGAGAAGTAAGGACTTTTTTATGACTTGTCTCTCTTTTTAAATAGCATTTGTTGGCTTAGTAACTAACTAAACTACTGTATAATCTCACTGTGCACAATATTTAATGGAACACTGTAGATTTAACATGTATAGAATTAATTTTTAGTAGTGGAGATTTGGTTGAACTATTTTGTACTCCTCCTTGAAAACATGTTTTTCTTCTTTTGACGCATTATTGCCTCTACTTCTGTAGGATGACAATAAGATAGTATGTGATATGTAGCCCTCTCATTACATCCCACTGCATACATGTAAGCATTAGAAGTAGTCAGATCTGGAGAGGTGTTATTAAAATCATAGATGTTTCACTTCACACTTGAGAAATTCATTGCTTTTATATGTGTTTATCTGTATTTCAACTGTGAGTTTGTCCTCTAGACATAGTACATGGAGGTAAAAGTGTATTTAATGTTTCTTAAAATATCAGGATATGTAGGAACATGACAGTCCATCAGCACAGTGGGATTTAGGAGAAACAAGCACAATGTTCGACGGCAATGATGGTAAGAGTTGTTTTGTTTTTTATCAGAGTATGAAACAAATATACATACAGTATATTAACTTGCTATACATGTATATAAAATGTGCGTGTATGTACACTAACAGTTGCCCATCTCTACATGTTTAGTGTGGGAGTCACCCGGACATGAGGGAAGTGCTCGAGGACAACAAAGACACAAGTGGATTCTCTGACATGAACTCCTTGACATCATGTATGCATGTAATACCTCCAACACAGGTACACAGGCGTGTGGATTTTAAACAAACAGATATAATCATATGAACCGTGAATCATTGCGTCTCTCTTGTCCTCGGGGAGGGTTGGCCTCCCCATCGTACAGTACCTGCAGACCATAACAGCTCAGAGTCCGGAGCAGGACAGACTGGCTGCCCTGCAACGGCAGTTTGACCCTGATCATCAGGACCCACATGTGAGCAGAGAGACGTTCCACTCCACCATGAGGGAGTGGATCGCACAGTGCAGGACAGGTGAGACAAAAGGTATAGGAGGTACAGATGGATGTCATGCAGGGTTAAGCATCATATTCAGGACTTTAATGATTTATTCCACCTTTATGTAAAGAAACGCTGTCTAAATGTATCCTGCTCAAATATTATAATCCAGCAGCATGCACAGAACCATATGTAATGGAAATGCTCCAACAAAAAATCACTTAAAGAGACATTTTTATCTGTATCGGGGACAAAGAAACATGGTAATTTGTAAATATGACTTTCCAGCTGGATACCAATGTGCAAGTTTTATTTTCAACCATCGTGTCTATATTTATATACATGTCACTTTTCGCTTAAATCAGTGTTGACTGATTCATAAAGAATGATATTATAAAAACTGTATTTGAGTAGCCTTTTCTCTACAAAGTTACAAAGTGCTTTTCAGTGGTAAAATTACAGGGAAAGAGAAATGTTCTCCAATTTATTGGAAAGCACAGTTGACAGTGACTTTCTCCTAACTAAACCTTCGACTTCAGTCTCACTATTTACTCCCAAACTTCCCCCCTGTAGCTGCCTTTGCTGCAAAGCAATTTAAAATGTTAAATACTTAACACATTTTAAAAGAAAAGTAATCACTCAAAGAAACTGAAGCGGATTAAGTGAAGTGATTGAATGTTTATTAATAACTCAGCGGGTGTAAAACTTGAGAAGTTAAGTACTCCTCTTCAGCAGTGGTGGAATGTAAATTCTGATATACTTGTGCTTTACTTCAGTATTTCTATTTTATGATACTTTATACTTGTAATTCACTACGTTTCAGAAGGTTACATTACAATTCACTACTTCAATACTCCACCATAGTTATTTGGGTGCTTTAGTTTCGAGTTAATTTTCAGATAAAGATTTTTCATGTGAACAATAACGATATAAAAATATCGTGGGTTGTTGTAGATTAAACTGCCCAACAGTATTTTAAATTGATAAAATTAGTTAAATAGTTAGTTAAGTGTTGCTTACATGTAAATGCATCATTAAAAATTGTCAAACTATAAATATAACACTCTAAAAGGTGCTAGTTTTTATACTGTGGTATTTCAGCTTTTAATTAACTAAATTATCATAATACTTGTTCTACTACTGCTCTTCAGACAGCAGCAAGAGTGTCAATGTAGATTATTCATAGAAATGAAAAAAGGGAAGATGACCTGCAAGAAACTTGTTTATATTAAATGTAACTAGTGTATTGTTGAATAAGTATTTTATTAAGCAGCATTTTCTATAAGCTGTGGCAACTAAGGACTCCTCTATTGTTTCAGCACCGATGTGGATGGCAGTCATGTATCTTGGTCAGACTCTTCTGTGCCTGTAAAGGGTAGGCTGTCACTGTTTTGCCCAAACTTCTGAGAAATGTCTTAATCACATCAGATGGCAATTTACTAAACCCGATGACCGTTCCTCTCAGGGCTGGGTTTCTCATCTTTTCAAAGCAAAGCTGCTTCCTCAGAAAGCCACCAGTGTTCCTGGTTAGTTCTCTCCTTTAATCACTGCATGTTTTTACCTCGTATAATCACTGTATAATCAACTGTTTGTTTGGCTTCAGTGATGGAAAAGACATGTTAGCCGCAGTGGCCGAACTGAAGCACGCTCACCACAAGCTGAGCGAGCAGAACAGCAGCTTGTTAAGGACTGTGGCTCAGTGTGAAGACATAAACCTGCAGCTCACTCTGGAGATCACTGAGCTGCAAGCAAAGCTGGCCAGGTGAAGGTTTAACTACTATAGTCTTCACAAGAGCACTTCATTGTCTCAGAATTTATTTCCTAATCACTTCAGTGTACGCTTCCAATGCAAAATGTAACACAAAATTATTCTGTAACACAATAATACACATTCAGTGATCAAAAAGCAGCAGGGAGAACAGCAATCATCATCTCACTCCACATACACAATAGGCGGACTTCCGTCCAGATCAGGACAGAAATACAATTGAATTCAAATCAGATCACTTGCAAGTGACACATCTCTATCATGTCAACTCACACATCTTTTAGCTGCAAGTTGCCGCAGTTAACAAGAACATTATCAGATGCTTGAATTAAAAAAGTGAAAAGCCATGTTCAAAAGTAACCAATGCAAATAGAGATTGACTCTGAAAACCATGTTTAAGAATGAGCAAACTAAGAAATACGTGTTGTTGTTTTTTACCCGAGGAAAGCACAAGACCAGTTTGCTTAATTTTCAATCAAACAGTTGCCATTTTGAATGGTGATAAAACACCACTACAACACGAAACATTCCCATGTTCAACAGTTTTGTCCCACCCAGATTTCCCACACAAATTTAGAACCATAAAACTTCACCAGCTGCAGCTGCCACATCAAGCTACCAGCAGAATAATTGTGAAATCGATCAAATCAGCATGTTCTACTACAAATTTAATGAACAACTTATACCAGAACTAATCAGAATCAGCTTTTATTGCCAGGTATGTGTACACATACGAGGGAATTGACTCAGGATTGCATTGCTCACGATGTCCTTACTCATACAAAAATAAAAAATCACGCTAATAAAAATAAAACAAAATCAGACACACTTCAGTCTAGACAACACAAATATAAACACTATGAACACATATAGACATATTGACAAATAGTGCAGTGAGCAGAGTGCAAAGGATGCAGGAGTATGTACATGTCGGAGGTGGATGTGATATACAGGTACTATACATGCATACATGTACACAGTGCAATGAAGCATAATAATAAACGCTAATGTCACAGAAATGTGTATTGTGTAGATACAGCTGGAGTTTTTACTACTTAAATATCAGTCACACTATGAGTACAAAGGCTTTCTTTTCTATAGAAAACTGCATTACAGCACCTCAGGCAATCCTCACTCTTCTATTAGTTTATATTTGGGTAAAACCAGAAGAAAATATCTGTTCCTCTCATTTTGGATCCTCTGCTGAATAAAAACAATCAGCTGTTTTTTTGCTTCACGTAGTGCTCAGCAGTCAGCAGTGAGAGCCAGATCCTTGACAGAAGAACTGGAGGAGACCCGTCGGTCTTTTAAAGAGGCCCAGGAGAGAGCCAACCGTACCCAGACTGGCTGCACCAAGCTGGTAATCACACACGTAACGGTCTCCCAGTGAAGCTACCCTTCTAAATTTGAGTTATTTTTTATTGCAACTATTTACATGTAAATCTCTTTACGTCTTCAGAGCAATGAGGTTGAATGCCTGAAGGTTCACATCGGGAGGCTTGAAGACAAGGTAATGTAGAGCTTAAAGGTGGGTGTAAATGTGAGCTCTTTCCTTTCTTGTAATAACATTTTCTTTGTGTCCCCACAGAATGAAAAACTCACCTTTGAAAAGACATGTTCTGAAGATAGCATCAACAAACTGAGGAAGGTCAATGCTGAGTTGAGGGTAGGAACAGTAAAACATGCATGTGTTTGTCTCTGTGTTTTGAGTTTAAACTGAGAGTTGAACATTACATGTTCACAGGCCGAACTTGAGGAAACCCTGGTTATGTTTGACGCTGAGAGACAGAGAAATCACAAAGGTTGGTCTATCTGGGTATTTTCATCAGAAAAAAACGTTTTCGTTTTTTACTTTTTTATTTGAACTTAACTTTATTGTCAAGTGTTCCTGTGCAGAAAGACATTCTTATGGACAAGATGAAGAACTCATGTGGAGAATCACAACATGATCGAGGTATGTTTGACACTTTGTCACAAAGCTGAGACAACAGTTTGAATATGAAAGAAGTTTTGGTAAGATGTAATTAAGTACATCTTTGACATATAGAGTAGATTAGTGTAGGAACATTACATTATGTTAAATCAGGAAAAGAAACCATTTTCACATGCAATAACATCAAGTATTAGTAACAATCAGCAACTTATCATTGATTGATTTCAGAAAATGTTAATGAGAAAACTGCCAATTTCTACTATGTTGTATGTTACATGCGGTGTTTATGTTTTATTAAATGGTTTTGAAAATGTATTTGGGCTTTTATTCAAAACATTAAGTCTGTTCTGGTGTTGCAGGGTCTGCAGTCAGAGCTGACAAGGTTACAGGAACATTCACACCAAGTTCTTTTGAGGTAATTTTAATAAATGACGTTGAACTGAGAATTGCTGCACCTAGTCTTGAAAGGCTTCTCCTTGATCTATCGTGGTTTGGATTGTACCTTGTTTATATGTTGCTTTGGATAAAAGCATCTGTAAATTAAAATGTTTAAATATATTTTCTGTATCTGAATGTTTTCCGTGTACATTTCTTTGGCATAATCTCAAAGATATTTGTACTTTATTCATTGGTCTTTCTTATTTTTTAAAGAGCATAAAGTGGAGCAGTAAGGAGCAGTCTCACTCCAGTGATTAAGTATTGCAATAAAAAGAAGAACAATCCAAATCAAAGCTGCAGAGGCAGAGATATCCTGATTTCTGTCTGTATCCTACATTTCCCACAATGCAACCCAATACCATCTTTCATTTAGACCCTCTCTGCCTCCTAAATACCTAATAGTTTCAAACCCTTAACCTCCAGTTGAAGGTCTTAAGGCCAAGCATCATCAGGGTAGTACTTGCGGAGTACCCCTTTAACAGAGCTATCATGGTTTTGTATAAAAGTTAAATATTTGAAAGAAGCTTTTTGGGCTATTTCCAAGGAAGACAAAGAATTGCAAGCCAATGAGCAGGTGACATTCAACACAAAGTTGTGTATGACTTGCACAAATTAGTTTAAGTGTTGAAGCTCCATTTCTTCTGTCTGTTTCCAACAGGTATGACCGACACTGTGTCGGTCCTCAGAGTCTCTACGGTCGAGATCTTCCAAACCACCGCTCTCTGCAGAGCGAGATGCAGAATAGCAGCAGGTGGGAAATGCTCGCCCTCCACCGCCTATCTTTTCATGGGGCTGATTTTCTGTTTCGTTTTGCCCGTCATTGCTCTGCCTTCCTTATCTGCAGCAGCATCACAGAGCTCTGGGCGACATTAACCTGCCATCCCTGCACACGCACAGTGATGATATTCAGAGCATCATCCACAGGATCAAGTCTGCAGAAATAGTCATCTTCTGCACAATAAGTATC